GGGGGGGAAGGGTGAAATGTGAAAATCTCCCAGACATTGTTGATTTTGATTGTAGAGGTGAAATTTGCTCGGTAATGTGAAACTGAATGTACATATTTCGGTCGGGTTTCGCTAGACTAAAATGATTACAGCCAATCAGTTATCAGAAAGCACATGAATCCAATCAAAGTTCAGATTTTAACCAGGGATAATGCTTCAGGCGCGAGAAAACACACACGACAAAGTCTGCATCTGATTGGTTGAGAGGGAGCTGAGGGGTTTGTAGACCAATATCACCAACCAACCCAATTCAAGATGGAACATTTTTCCAAGAGAGGAGTGAAAACTTTTCGGAGCTGAAAATAACTGACGACTGAAAATGCCTGACAATATGACTATCTTCGGACACAATTGAGAACTTTATTTAAAATCACTTAAATAAGCCGATAGTTTCTACGAATAGACCACTCGTACCCTACTCTTCTCTTCTATCGAAATACACGAATTATGTTCCAGTTGTCCTATACTAGTAATCAAGAATACTAGACAACCACGTTTAAGTAATCACTGGGAATGATACAAATCACTCATTTTAGGACTTACCAGTCCAAAACATTAAAGTTCCGTTTAATTACCGTCTCTATTCCCTTACAGGGACTAGCATCTAATTTCTCCTTTCAATATCACCCCTAAATATCAGATTATGGTCACGAGAATTAAAGAAATGATCACCAACTAAGATCACTCTCGATAGTTGAACAAATTGTCCTTGTCAGTACCTAAGGAAGTGTATAAAGAACAGTATGGAAAATTTACCTACTGATGTCAGGATTTAAACGGTTAAATGTTTGAAGCGGCGGCTGGAGTTATCGGCATAATTCTCAACCTTTGTTATTTTTATATTATCATTCTACGAAAGATATGTTTTTGATTAAAAATAATTTCCACACCTTTCATTAACGTTACGTAATTAATTAATAGTATTCAACTCAATGAGAACCATCATCACCTTCAAATAAAGCCTTCTTTAGGATTCTATAACTCTCTCAAGTAATTACGAACTTCATCAATCAATCAGGTAATATGGAATAGTAAAGTTAGATAAACGCTCCATTGCGAGAAGTAGAGTTTGGTTTATGACCAAATAAGTTTAGGATCACTCTTTGACTAAACCATCACTGGCCACTCCGTTTTCCTTCGCTGCTTTTATCTTCACCTCCGTTTGAAGACGACTCATATCCGCGAATAAATTTCTCTTAAGGACAGCTGAAGCAGTAATCACCCCGCTGAACATCGCTCCAGCGAACCCACAGCTTAAGATATCCTGTCCGGTCAGGTATAACCCAGGAATGGACGTATCCGGGCGGAGTTTCATCGCGGCGTTGGGACTGAACCGGTCAATGTGATGATCAATCCCGTATATCTCCCCACGAGGAGCAGCGATGTAGTATCTGTTACTCAACGGACTCCCGACATCAAAGAAATCAACCCGGTCGCAAACTTGCGGGAAGAGCTTGCAAGTTTGTTCCCAGATGCGCTTGCCGATACGGTTTTTGAATTCCTCGTATTCCTCGCCCCGCTTCATAACCCGTTCGTTCTCCCAACGCTCAAACCACTCGTACGGGGCAAGAGTGATGACGGTACATGTCGTTTTACCGGGGTGTCTCCTGTCCCACTCGGGGTCTTTAGTCGAGGGAAAGGAGATAAACAAAAGGGGAATATCTTCAGTTCCGGCGGTAGCAGCGTCCGACTGTAAGTACTTCCTAGTGCTTTTATCGAGTTCGTTGTCGGTGAAAGCCCATACATTGGAAGCTTTTAGTCTGAAGTCCTCTTTCGTCCCCTTGAGGCCGACGTAGACCGACATGGCCGCGTAACCATGACGAACACCCTCGGATTTTAGCAGGTTCTTGTCGGGTATGGGTTCCTCACATCGAAGAAGGGTCTCAAATGTGTTGTAGATCCCTGCAGCCGAAATCACAACTGGAGCAAAAATATCCATCTCACTACCGCCCTTTTGAACACGTACACCTGAAAAAAACAAAACAAAACAAAAACAGTTTTGATAAATAAAAACAATAAATTATGTTAGGTCACGCCATGTTACTGGGTATCACGTTGAGTCATGTTGTGTCTGCCACTAAACCACAGTGTAGTCAAATTATTGCTTTTGAACTGAGGTTAATGTTTGTTCAGGAAGTTCATCTCTTGAGTTACCTCTATACACTCAACAATTATCACTTGAACAAGGTTTTCACCTTGAAAAGTTGCACTTTAGTTTTTTTAACGGCTCATGATTTATAAATCAGGGAATTATTCCCCACCTTTTACTCATCATCCTTTTATTCTGTAGTACTTGTGACCCTTTTTGTACTATAGCAGGTTTACCGCATTGTTCTTTATTATTTTTAATAACAGACGAATGAAAAAATGACGTGATGCGCTGACGCTAGCTCTAAGGCAAAATAATCTGAGGGTAATGCACAAAAAGAAACAACAACAAAAGCTTTGCGTCTCTTCAAACATCCTACCTTGGACTTTCCCAGAAGCTTCCTCAACAAGAATTTTGGAGACCCTTGCTCTGACTAGAACTTTTCCACCCGCTTTCTCTATAACCGGAATGATGTGGAAAGCAATCTCGCTTGCCCCACCACGAGGATAAAATGCTCCAAATAGGTAATGATTTGCAAGTATGGCATGCATTGCAAAACTGCCTTCTCCTGGAAGAGTCCCTTGAGAAAATAAACAAATAAAAGATAAACGTTATTGGAAAGGTAATTCAAACATTTCATGACTAGAATAAAGAGCTCTTCTCATAATGCTGATAAAATTTAACTCCTAGATCAAATTTGTAATTCTCCCTGCTGTCAACCATACAATTCTTATGATGTTACTTCAGAGAATTAAGTATTGGATCAACTAATTATACCCAAATTGATATGTTTCTTTATTCTCATCACTCATCTGGCTGATATTGTAATTATGATACTGTAAGGAGAAATTCTGTCTTGGTTACTCATGGGAGTTAAAGGGTTAACATGACTGGTAGGACACTTATGACAAAACGATAGGAAATGAACACATTTAATATCTTGTAAACAGAAGCATTCTTTTCCTCCACTTCCCTCCCCTCCCTTATCAGCAATGTTCTCTTTTCATTTCCTACAGTACTGAAAAAGAGATCTTGTTTGACAATCAGATGCTTCTAAAATTGGTGATCATTTCCTTTAATCTTATAACCTTAATATCTGATTCAAGGGTAACACTCTAAGGAGAAATAAGAAGCCAATCATTCTTAACCCTTTACACACTAACATCAGTATGCATATTCTCCATACTGTTCTCTAAACATTTCCTAAGGTGCTGACAAGGAGAATTTGTCTAACAATCAAGAACTTCTTTAGTTTGTGATTGGCTCCTTTATTCTCCTGACCTTAATGTTTGATTCAGTGGTGATATGGTAAAGAGAAATTAGATGCCAGTCACTCTTAGGGGTTAAAGGATTAAGGGTGAATGGGCTAAGGCGCAAAGTTTGCTAGCTCTTACCATAGTCACCAAAATTGTACGCCAGGACAGTTTGAAGATCCTTATCATCTGTCAGTTCTTCCAACACTTCTGCAACTGATCTTTTAGAATACTTGAAAAACTTTGTCATCCAGTTTGAAATTCCAGTTGTAAACATGAATTTGGCCAACCACACAGGCATGAGTTTGAAAGCTACATAACCTGGCATTGATTTACGAACATCCTACAAAAAAGGATTCAGACATGAAATTTTTCTAACAAGAAAAAACAAAGTTTTAAGAACAATTCTTCTCGACCTTGAAAACCAAACTTAATAAAACCAAGTCACTGTTCATGAACATTCTGAAAAATTACCCCGAGTTTTCAAGTTCATTACTTCAATTCCATTTTTATCCCCTATGTTCTTAACCTTTAACCCTTTCATCAGCAAACATATTCTCCACTAAGGTGCTGACAAGGAGAATCTGCTTAACAATCAAGAGCTTCCTTAGTTGTTGATCATTTGCTTTATTCTTGTGACTGTTATGTTTGATTCAGGGGTGGTATTGTAAGGAGAAACTGGATGCTGGTCACTCTTAACGGTTAAAGGGTTAATCATCCTCCTTTTCAGCCAAGTCTCTTGCATTTTTATCCCATCAAGCCACATTATATTTGTGGAATAATTTTGATGATTATTTTTTGCATTTTTCACATCCCACAAAAAAAAAACCTGATAGCACAACTCCTTCAGAATTTACCATCTACCTACTTCTTTACACCACACTGTAGCTTGAGTTAGCACATGAAGGACCATAAACAGAGTGTAAATGGCATTAAAAAATTCCTGGGAATAGCTACCACATAATGTCTGTTCACTGAATTAGCATGAATCTACTAGAATTCTATCACAGACAATATGATCTAATTGCCTCTTCTTCTATTACTGCTTTTTATTCCATGAAAATGGTGGGTAAAGTGACCAGCCTGACAGTGCACTCTTGTAGATAAAATAAAGCTAAAATAAAGCTAAAATATACACCTATCTTTTACTTAATTTCAAATGACTGTCAGGTATTTATATGACAAAAATTGGATAATTCACTCTTGATTTCAATGCATGGTGGCAAATTTGGGTTTTGTCCTCATCACCTGTCATGTGATGGAAATGTTAAGCTCACAAAGCAAAGTTTACATTTACTGGTTAAAGAATAAGCAATTGAGCAGTGATTTTGTTCTAACATTGCATTAAACTGCTACCCATGGGCTCATTCAGTTATGGGCACCAGCTGACCACAGACAAGAAGTCCCATATATCCAGTACAGTTCTTGAGCAAGTTATAGTACTATCATGAACTACCAGATACATATCAACACGTGTAAACAGAAAAATGCATGTCATAATCAAGATTTTGTATGGGTTGACTTGATCGTGATCTTTCCAGTGTCAATATGAAACAAAATCATAGTAGTCTTTAGGATTCTAAATTACAAAGACAGGTTATTTCTCAGTCAGTCAGACAAGTCAGATGGCATGCTCATTTGCCTTTGTGTCACATTGGACACATGGTGGACAGTACTGTAGGTACATCTAGATTCTGTTGAGGTTTTTATTTGTTAGAGATGCCGCATGTAGGATAACAAAACCAGTGCTCAAAAACTGTATCAAAAATATGATATTTACCTTAAGCAGTTTCATGTATTGATCAATAGCTTTCCTTTCTTTTGGAAAACTCTCATACAACGCATTGCGGTATTCATTCTGCCGTCCACCACAGATTGGGTACTTTCTTGCATTATCTCCATTGCCAATCACTACAGTGTCATATTGTTTTTCAAGGGGAACCCAATCCAGCTGACCTTCAGTTAGTTGATCTGAGAGAAGACGCATTGTCCCTGTGCAGTTCATTTCTCCAATGTAATGAATACCTGGATCAAACTCATAACCTGTAATGTAAACCAGAAGGTGCAAAAAAATGAAATTTGCTATTATAAATTAACCCTTAAACACCCAAAATTGATTAAGATGTAACTTCCCCCCTACAATACCCATAAATTATTCAACGAACAGGTAATGAGTATATTCAAATTCATCAGGTAGAAGTTGATATCTTGGTCTAATGCCAAATTTAACTAACCAATTTACAAGAAAATGGGTATCAGCCGGAGGGGAGAATTAACAATAAGATCTTTGTAATTTAAAGGTTAAGGGATAATTCTTAGGTATGTAATTTACAAAATCATCATGTAATGCTATGCAATTTCTGCAACTTGCTGATTAAGTTTGTGAATTTGGTAACAATGTTTGACAGTTAATAATTTTCTGGCAAAATGTAAGAGAAAATTGTAAGAAGAATGTTATTCCTAATTCAGATCACCCAATCTAGATAGGTCTTGTCTAAGAATGCAGGTTTTTCATAGGTATCTAATTTCAACCATAATGTTTTATTATGATTAAGTTTCAACAAATTTCCACATTCTGACCTAGATCTCTAAAGAATGACACAAAAACAGCCATGTATAACTCCACTTGACGCAAATGTTTCCTGTTGTTTTAACAGCTTACACTACTAAATCAGTATTTATCAAACCTAGGGTAGCGAAAAGAAAATAAAAAACACTACCATTCAAAAGTGATGGACTAGAAAAGCCTTTCAGTCGACTCGTAAGAGTACCAAGAGCCTCTGTCTTTGAGGCAACAATAAAATCAACCAAAAAGTCGTTAGCTAATCTGAGTAATTTCATCAGGCATGGAAGATCGAATAATTTTTCTGTAACTATGCAATTATAGAGCTCTCTAGATAAAATTTCGATGACCCAAGCTGTTATCTATTCAGCCATTGCAAATAATATTGAGCTAAATCTCGAGTTACTTTACTATCCACCTGCTCTCGTTTTTCTACAAAGAACCCTTGCCATGTACCATTACGTAATAAGCCACATCCACCTTCCCAAACCCTGTTATAAGTTCGCTTTAAAATGACCAGCCGTATTAGGGTCATGTGCTGCACTGGCTCTTCTGCCCGACCCGTAAGCATATTAATGATGATGCAAGAGAGAGCTGAAAGCTACAGATTACGGATAACTCAGACAGATCAACAGGTTACTATAAAGCATAAACAGACCTTTGTCTATAAACGAATGGCAGCATCCTCCTGCTTGATCATGCTGCTCTAACACCAGAACCTTCTTTCCTGCCTTCGCCAAAAGGGCTGCAGAGGTAAGCCCTCCAATTCCGCTACCTATCACGATAGCATCGAGGTTGTCAGGCACTTTCCGCGCAACAAATCCTTGCTTGATCACTTTGTCCCGTTCCGCCTGGTCTAAGACCAGGGGTTGAGGTGGCCTTCGACAGTCAAAGGTGAAAGGGTTTGGTCCTCTTTTATTCAGCTTTGCACGGATTCTGAAGACAACTAACGGTATAAGGACTGCAACAAGTAACGTTAAGAAAAGAAAAGTTCCAGAGGAATTTTGGAGAAAAGTTGAAACCAACTCCACAAACTTCATCACAAGAGCCATGTTTGTTTCTCATTACTCCGATTGCGCGTAAGGCATCATGGGCTATGGTTTTGTCACGCTCGAGAGGTCCTGGATACCAGAGAAGAACCTGAGGCGTGGCGAAGGAGCGGCCACTATTCCTAGGTAACCTCCCCGGCCTACATAGAGACAAAAGAACCGAGAAAGTTACAGCGTTACTGAGCTTGCTGAAATTAAAACACACCGATAATTACAAGTATAATAATGTAAACTAAAGTGGATCATGGAAATTATAGCAAAGGATGGAGTTCCAGAATCAATCCACTGTTATCAAAAACATAATGCACTTGAAAAAACTTTGACAAACCTGTCCTTGAAGAATTACAAGTCTTCTTGACTACATTGGCACAACTATCCCAAAACTTGGGGTCAGACTGCATAGGCCATTTGTCGCAACTAGTATCATTCCAAAAGAAGCAAATTCAGCGTCTGTCCACCCCCTTCTTCCAGAGGACTTTATTGGAATGTTTCCTTCTTGGAGGAGACTTTTCCTAGATCTCCCTTCGGTCGACTGCCTTTTGTTTTCCGGCTTACCCGGCGTGTCGCCTTGCTCAACAATAGGCCTTTTGGCGGCCATAATCGGTCCCAAACACTAGCACGAATAAGTGCATAAAACAATAGCACCGTTGGAGGGCGTTTGAGAGCGTTTAGTCACAGCTGTAGAAGAAGGATCAAAGCAGCCATCTAAACGTTTTCTAGGCTTTAAACTACCACGTACATCAAATTTGACCTACTCGAAAACCGGTCTCAAATTATATCTCAAAAACCAGTGATTGCGTTTCGCTTTTAAAAGCAACTAAATACGCCACAAATACGTATGAAAAATAATTCTTCTCGCTCAGTGTAAGTCAAATTACTTTTAGCTATGGTGAACGAGAAAAGAAGCGACCTAACTTCTTAGTAATCTCAGGAGCCCAGTAATAGGCCCCTGGTAATCTTCAGCAGGAGCCCATGGGCTCCTGTCTTCAGTCAAAGACTGTCAATTTATGTCGCTTTCGCTGCCATATTGAAAATAACCTTCCGGGTAACCCCTATCCTTATGTTAATAATTTATGTAAAATGTATGCAAATAATTAATGCAAATAACTCCAACTTTCGCGCATGCGTAAGGAACAATTTGTTACACCAGTTTCACCTCTACCACATACGGCCAAATAATTATTTTAGGAGAACCGAAAAGAATTAGCAAATTTGTGCGTGTACAATGGGACATTCCAAAATGTGGCATAGTATTCTTTCTTTCCAAAATTCTTTTGATTCCATAAACAACAACTCAGAAACAAACGAGAGATCATGATGACTGCGTGGAACAAATCATTCCTAACATTTTATTTCGATCAGTTTATCAAACAGCAGGGCAGAGTTAGCGACAATTTAACAATCATTTAATAAGTCTTTTATTCCCAGCTCTGATTGCAAATGTCGAATTTGTCACTTGTAATAATGCATGATATATGATTTGTCCTTAGATGTGACATCACACAATATCTGTCCAATCGAGTGACGGCCGCGGTGTTTCTTCTGTTTTCCAAGCCACAGTTTTTTACTCCGTATCAAATTGATTTATATCTTGATATTTTTCACTTTCAAATGCGAGTTTAGAAACCATGTCTTAACACGAGGCAAGCGAGTTTCTTTCGTACCTATACAGAATTTGAAACTTTTTGGATTTACCATGCCATAACTTACCGTGCAATAATACTTTTGTTCTTTGAACCTGCCGCTTTTACCCTGAAGCATGGAGCCAATTTGCCCCTGTTTATTCAGGCAATTTTATGCTCAAACAATAGTTTAATATTGTAAACTACGAAATGCTTATTAACCTACAAATAAATTCCGAAGAAGAGTTTCAATTGGAATTCTACGTAGTGTAAACCGTTTTTGACTTAGGCGCCTTCTGTCTCTCCGGTGACACAAGCCTTAGGTGGTTTCAATCAAAGGTTTCATATCCGAGAAAAACAGAACAAAAAGGGTTCTTTCACAAGCTATCGATGGAGACGTTAATTAAACGCACGCAACAAAGACTGTTGTCAAATTCTTTTTATTGCTGTCTATTATGAGAGAAAAGAACAAGCAGGCACACCACCGGGAGTGAAATAACACTCGATGTCCTACTGCGCAGTTATTAAACGTGGTAACTTTTGAACAAGCCGATGCAAACGCCAACTTAGTACAATGCAAAAAGAAAAGCTGAATTAACCATCTGTTGCTTGTTTTATGCATCGAGATTTATATACAAATACTAGATTAGTTTAATCAAGTTTTGATTTACTTAAGTAAAATGTACCGGGATTTATCACAATCAAGAATAAACGAATAATTCCGTGTGCTAATAGTGTGATAATGCGACTGCTTAATTGTTGTATAATAACTATCGGCGTGAATTTCATTGTTCAGCGCTAAACATGGCAGGCGTGCAGGAATTTCCCGATTCTTTCAAATTATTTTATGCTCGGTTAAGACATAAAAAATTCATCCGAGGAATTTTTCGAATTGGTTGAGCTTTTCTAAACAAAATGTCACCACAATTTGATCAAATTAACAAACCGTTGATAAAAACACTCACAGTGGTTAAGTTTAATTAATCAATTAGCCAATGAAATCCTCTTAAAGCTAATAACAGGCTCCACAGTGTGATATCGATCAGTATTTAACCCGTTTACCGTAGGCTGCCTATCAAAACACGTCCGTCTTGACTCCGTCTCGTTGACTTGGGATCTAAGAAACCTCTGAAGAAAGTGGATACCACCACCTCGGACTCTTTCCCAAGCTGAATACCATGGAAGCTCAATCCACAGCTTTCATCAGATCCTCCAGTTTCTCAATAGATAACATTCTTAGTAGCAAGGGAGAAGAAGCTCCGACAAGTTTAAAACTTGAACTTCCAGCTAACGTAAGCGAGAGTGTACAGCGAGACTTTCAGTTATGTCCTCCATTCCTTTACGGCGGCCTGAATACATGGCAGCACTATCAGCCACATGCATGCCCTCCGTTCGACAGATCACGAAAAACAACCGGTAAGAGATCAGAATACCTTAAATGAACCGATTAGGTGCCACGAATTAGATAAGCATAACTGATTTATTAACGACAAAATTTAATACTTCTGTCAACCAACCTCAAAGGGAAGATTACAAATGACGCCTGTTGGAGGTGAGTTGAGGAGGCCTTGCTTGTCATATTATCTTCGAATTGTGAACGCTTAAGCAACGAGATTTACCTCGTTTGACGGATAGGCTTCTTTTGAAGTTTATTATTTTTTTTAAATCAATATCTGTCTTTCCCTGAAGACTTCTGAGAAGTGGAATTAAAACGACAAATAGTTTTAGTTTTTTTCATAACTGGAAACTGATCTTATCAATTTATATGTGACCTGGTGTTTTTCAAGCATAAGATTGCTATCCTTTCATGGAAAAATAATAGTTATTTAGAGAATATCGTGTAACGTGGCAATTATCTTTAAGAAGTCGCACGAAATGGACTTATGGTAATCTGGGAACGCAGAACTTCGGGGAGGTTCTCATTCTGCGGGGTTTTTTGAAGGAATGTACGGTTAAGCTCATAAAAAGGGAAGAAAAACCTAGGAAGGTTATAGTTCGATTGCGGTCCTCGGTTTTCAATGGATTTTCGACCAACAAAGCATGCCGCTTCTTTTCATGCAGTAGGCTAGTTTTATTTGGGCAGAATAGCATTTAAGGCTACAGGCAATTTAAATGACTGAAATCAAGAAACGTCTCTTACTAGTAAATTAAAAAAATATATATTTCAGATAAATATTTGGCAGACCTGTGCAAATCTTTTCGCAGAAGTCTTTAAAAGCAAGCTTTGTTCAGTTTCTTTAAAACGTGTTCTGTTTTCAGCGGTGATTTGTTCAAGTTTATGTTTTTAGGAAGTGAAGTATTACAGTTTTTCTCACGGTGTGGGCACTTCTGGTGTAAAGAAAGTGTAAGAGCTCTTTCACATCAGATGTGTAAAATGAATAACAATTTCCTCAGACCTCAGGGGTGGTGATGAAATAAGGTTTTCTCAACTTTGTAAAATCTCCCTCAAGTATTTATGGAGGCGATAAATTTCATGGTGCATCAAGTAATGGTCTGATTATCATGTCAACCGTTTTCGATCTCAGGATCTCAGTATTAATTTTCCTTTACATTTACAATAAATTTTTTAGTACCGAGAATTCTAGATTTGTGTTAATCAAACAATCCTGCTGTTATTTCTTAATTCTCATCACTTGTATACTGAAGATGTTCTCTGATAGCTAAGCGAAATTAACTACCCATTTAAGGAGTTACGAAGCTTTAAGACATTCTCTTACCTTAGCCTATCAGTATATTGATTCTCTATGTTCAGTTTGGCCATTTCGAGCAATTCGGCTGAAATCAATAACTCGTGTTAATCTTCTTTAACATCTACCTTATTAGTTTATTTTTTTTTCTCTGCCTCTTTGGTGTTAATCCATCCTAACAAACCATATTTAACCCTTCAACTCCCTTGAGCGACCAAGACAGAATTTCTCCTTACAATATCAATATAATATCAAGAAGAAAAGTGGTGAGAATAAACTTAAATATCTATTAGGGGATTGCTAGTTGATCCAATATCAAATTCTCCAAACCAACATCATAAGAATTGAATGGCAGACGGGGGGAGAATTGGGAGTGAAAGGATTAAAAGAACTTTCCAATATGTACAAGAGTTTTCAACGAGCTAAAAAAAAAGAAAAGAGATATCAGAAGGCAGCTTCTTGTAAAAAAGGTTAGGGACAATATTTCAAAACGGCAAGTCAAGTAAAAGGTACCAGCGAAAGCTAAATTAAAAATCATTCTTCTCTTCCAGTTATACAACAAGAAAGCAGCTCAAGAGAGCGACGAAGATGCCGAGATCCGTCAAAGAAGCGTAAAAGAACGGCTTTCACCACAACACAAGTTAAAGAACTTGAAGGCGAATTTCGCAGAAGCAAATATTTGACCATTTCTCGTCGAACAGAGCTTTCAAAATCTCTCAAGCTGACCGAAACACAAATTAAAATCTGGTTTCAAAATCGCCGGACCAAATGGAAAAGAAAAATAGCGGCAGAGATGGAATTTAGTGTCAGATCATCCGGGAACGTGTATGGTCCCCACCATCCGGGAATTCATCATTGCAACCAACACTGTCACCCTGGTAATAACATGCCATATAATTACTGTCAGTCAGGATTCTCACCGGTTCTCTGCCATCCTCAGCTGTCTTACCCCACAGCGCATGTTTCTCACGTGGGATTTTAGCCAATGACAAAACGCTAACATGACAAAGAATATGTATCTCTGAGCCGGAGGGCCGATAATACTTGAACAGATCCCATTCGTAAAATCCTGGCCATTTTACTGAGAATTCGTCTGCAAGTTTTATGTTTTCATGTCAATTTATTGTCGCGGATGAAGACTTTTTTAACGGATTACTTGGATATCACTGTGGTAACTGATGCAATCCACGTGTTCATCCTGGACTACTGTTGCTATTGATATATTTGTAGCAGATGTATGTACAATGTTATTTTTTAAAAAATGTAATTGACCCAATTATGCAAAATTAAAGCAGGAATTTTCCTGCGGAAAAAGGATGACAATAATCAATAAATATTCGAGATTAACTCGTTATATTTTTCTTTTAGTATCCATCAGTTTTTTTTCTGACTTCAAGCCACTCAGGTCACCGTCTAAACTGTGCCTGGAATTTTTTTTAATTATAAGGAATACACATGCCGGATTCGCCTCCGACACTTGCAATACATGTTACTTAATTAAGCACAAATTACTCAAATCCTCAGTTACAATCAGCTTCCCTGATGTACGCAAGGTATTTTTTCAAAGCGAGCTCGTTCAAGATTTTCTGAAAACCAACCTTTCCGTTTTCGCTACAAATAACCTGTTCCGGGCGTTTAGTTAGTAAAATGAAGCGAAGTAACAAACGGCACGACAGTAGCAAGGGATTAAAAAAGCGAGCAAGATCTGGGTCAGAACGGGTAAAGATCGTGGTCATTACAAGACTCGTCCCAAACCTCCCTCGTTTTTTCACTCTCTGTTACTATAGCACTGTCTATTACTGCGCTTTGTATAACACGCACTGAACGCCTGGAAAAGACTAGACTGAAACGAAATGTCGGTCAAATAAATATTTTACGAAAAAAAAGCAATCACAATGCTTTGATAATTGATAGCATGCAATATTATAGAAACATCGAGCGACATCAGTCTTAAGAAATTCTCCCCAATAAAAAACGATAACCTGCATGTCATTGTTTACAAAAAAATTTCTCCCATTAAGTTTCCAGATCCATTTTCAACATAAAAATGTAAAATTAACAGTTAGAATTACGCGTGTCGTCTTTCAGTCTTAGCCTATTTATTACAAACGGAACAATTGCAAATAATTTGACGACACATGCACATAGAAAGTATGGCAGGTGATTCTTCCTCAAATGAAACATCCTTAAATCTCACGCTGAGTCCTTTCACTGCTCGCCGCCATTTAATTGTTGGCACGTTTCTGCTCTCTTTGACAATTTAAGATCACCCGCGAATGTTACCTGTAATTTTATATGGATTAAGCTGAAGACTGAATGTAAAATTCAACCAACCAATCTTCCATTTTTAACGATATAGTTTATTGCTACGCACAAGTAGGTAACTTAGTCAGTCAAGTTGGTGTAAGATTTTTAGCGGTCGAAAGGATAAGAGTATTTTCGTGTTTTAACCAGCCGCAGACTGTATAGGTACTAAAAACACCTTTTTCAACAAAAAAAACATCGAAAACCCTCCCTTTCCCTGGGAATCAAATGATTGTCGGTTAAAATTTTGATTATGGTTTTGCATCGCACTGTTCCCTTCGTTTTGGTCCGATGTTTGTTGGTTAAGATTTTGAGCATAGTTCTACATCGTTAGCAGCTTTTTGTGAACTGAGAAGGCACCGAGGTATTTTTAGAAACCCGCTAAAAGCGATTGTAGCTGCGGCTAAATCAAAACAGAATGTTTTCCTGCACTGTTTCCTAAACATGATCGTTATGGTGTTGCATACTTCCCTATTACGTAGCAAGAGTGCATCTTAAAAATCACTTAAACCATGCATCAAAATTGTTAGTCGTGTCAATATTTACCAACTTTGTATATATAATAAAAAGCAGTTATTCGGGGCGTTTGGTATAGTTTGGTCAGATTTACTGAAAACTCCGATTCGATTTGTAGGTCACGGGTTCAAAAAAAGGGCACGGAAAAGAGCATCTCATTTGAAACTGTAGTTTACACAACTGACCACATGTTACGCAGAATTTTGTTCCTTTACTCACACATACGAAAAAAAAAAACACACAAATGAACACTGGTGCGGAGAAACTGCATTGTTGTATTATTGTTAAAGAAAACTAATTGCTTAAAAATAATTTTTTCTTTTACGTGGTGACAACGATGAATATCATCAGAACAGTAATTAGTGGTTGTTTTAACATCTTCGGTAGACAATCAAGGTCGTCATCGTTGAAAAAGTACTTAGAGGTTACTTAATTATGAGTTTTGTAAACAGAGTTTAGAGCAAAGCACTGTCTGGTCGCTCTCTCTCTGTCACGAAAGAGAGCGACATCGCACTACTCTTACTCGATGACAATTCCCTGAAAAATTAATTGGAAATTGAATTCTTTATCCTTTTTCTGACTGAACCTTGACGCACGTGATTGAAGATAACTAACTTCTCTTTTGTTTGGCAGATCAAGGGTTCAGTTATTGTTTTCTCCCGTCTCTTTGTATTTCTTTCCCTGTTTACCTCCACCTGAAAGTGCATCGCTTATCATCTAATGTAACGCGGGCGCGCAAGGAGCTTTACTACGAGCGCCCTGATGGTCGAAAGCTTATCGATTATTGCACGGGTAAACCCACAAAAAAGTTGAATTTTGTTCTATAAAGCAATAGACCACAACTTATTTCTGTTTACTGGTGTCAGTAATAACCCACTTGGGATATTAAGAAGACACTCAAGAAGTTGTAATTTTAGAGGCCTGAGGCAAGTAGTTTACAAACTTTTTAAGTGTTTTTTTTTTCCAACATCTTAAGTGGGTTATTACGCTGGTAAACCGATAGAAAGGGTGTCGTAGTGCTTAAGTATTCCGCTCCAAGAGGTTAGATAATGCAGAAATTAAAGTTGTTGTACAACACATATTGCCAAACAAAGGCGACAGGTGCTCTAATTTTAGTAAATTTATTAAACCAGTCATTAAAATGGAAGAAACAAGTGGTATGCTGGTGATGATGGCGCCATATTAACTCCGTCGTAACTCAAATTGACAGAAGTCGAGTGCAGACTTTCTGTAATTTGCTATCTAACAAGAAATGAGACTTCAGACAATTACCTTGTCGACAAACATCCGGTATTTGTCGGAAAATGCTTAAATTAAGGGTTCGTAATTGTTTGTCTTGCAGATCTCGATAAAAAAATATTCTGGAATAACAAAACACTCGCAAAAGGTCGCTATCGCAGGATAAACCTATTTTATAATATTGCTAATATATTTTGGTTCAGTTTTATTCATTCATTTATTCTTGAATAAAGGCAGTTGATTAGTCGCCTTCTGTACTTGTCGTTTGATAATAAAGAGTTTTAATTGCAGTAACAGCCAGTAGCCTAGCGTGTGATGTAATCAAGTACCTTCCTAAAGAGAAAAAGCAATTAACTCAGTATTATCATTTTAAAAAAGAACATTGAAGAAAAAAAGTCACATAAATTTGGAGTCAATGTTTCTACGGGTTTTCAGTATTTTTGTCAAGAACTTTTTAAAAATAACGGAAAATTCTGTTTTGCAAAAGAACTCATTCAGCTGAAATTCATTGAAAATTATTCATTACAGAGAGTTCGTTTTTTTAAACCTTCTTTATCATCTTTCAAACAATTAACAATTGTTGTTAAATTATTTTCTCGTCGGCTACAATAATTTTGTCATTTTACGACAAGATCAAATTTTTTTCCAGAAAAGCTATCTGGCGCCGTCTTTGGAAAAGTGCTGTCCTAATGGCGTGATTAAAATCATCATGCTTAAAATCTATATTTCCGAACATCAGAGAATAGAAATAAATAACTCAAAAAAAGGCGTTAAAAAGAACAAAAATCTTATTTAACACCTTTTGCTTGCGCTCTCCTGCAATTTGGGCTTTCCCATGCCTCTGGCTATCACTGTTAGTCCATGTGATCTTGTATAGGCCGCGGCGCTCATGTAAACTAACGCAATATTTTTGCTCTAAAAATTTCAATTCACCTGCACTTTACGTAAAATTTTCCATTCATAAGATGTCTGCTCAATTTCAAAACATTTTTAAAGCTACTTTTCCTTACCACTGAGGAGAATTTGATTTTTTCGAATTATTATTGAAGGAAGAGCGTCGAAGGCATTATAATACTGGGTTTCATCACAAGAATCATGGCCTTTTTCTTGGAACAAAAAAAACGCGTCAAAAGTCGAAAAAAAGTAAATGAAAAAGCCTCTCTCCGCCATCAAAGCAAATAAAAAAATAAATAAAAAGATTATACAGACTCTGCTTAGAATTTTTCGGCCAATTTTGAGCGCCGACTTATTCGAAAACTTTTGTTCAACTGGCTGGCTGTTTGAATATCATACGCGCTGCATTTTTTAAGCTGAAACAAAATATCATAGCAATTGTATACCTTTTAGTTCATTCAGACCGGTTCAAAGGAATCTTAGTCCCAATTTGCGGAAATTTTTGTATTTCAGCCTTCTTTCTTGCGTTTTTCTTTTAGTAGAGGGACTGATCTGTGAAAACGCCAGATACTACGTGTTTTTGAAGATCTGTCAAATGCAATATGTAAGGAAGGTGGCACGATTTGAATTACAATCTGTCCGAAAATACTGATGATGTTCATTCAAAATGCAACTTAAAGTGCATTCATATTCCACGAAAACAGGAGTTTTACGAACCGTATCATTCGTATCTTGCCTAAAACTGGGAACATAATACAACAGTTGGGATCTGTAACTTCTGATCAAGAAGACAATTGAGTGACGCCTTAATCACAATGTCATTTTAAACCAAAGTTAATTTTCTGTTCTGCGCTAAGACACACCATCTTACCTCACGATCTTCAAAGTGCGTTAAAGTTTTTGCATCAATGACTAATTACGCACAAAAAGCATCAAACCGATCAGTATCGCTTACAAATCGTGCGTATATCTAGCCCTGTATGAAATTACACCTAAAGTTCAGACATACTCATCAGGAAAAAAATCCAAATTGAAGGTATCCGAGACTCAATGAAATCAAATCCCACGGACAATAAAGTTCATCTCTCGGAGCAGATTGTTCATTTCGATCGAAGTCAAACCGGATTATTGAATTTCATTTTTTCTTATATTGATGCCGATTTGTCAGAAGGTAGGGAGGAATTTAGGAAAAAATTTAAAGTTTTAAACCCTATTATATGGCATGGAGATTTTATCAAGGAATTTGGTGGAATCGTCACATACTGAGATCTCTCTTTTCCAAAGAAAGATTGTATGTAGAAAGGAAATTGTGAGTAATCGGGAGCATCAAAGTTAAATTGACATTTGCTTTTTCATCAAGCGGTATCATAGCTGAATTTGCATTTAATTACTTG